TATTTGGAGATGATCTTACCCAATTAGTTCTCAGTTCAGTTCACAAGGTTTAATAGTAATAATCCAAAAGTATTAATAATTGGTGTTGATTTAGCTGCAAATCTGCTGTATGCAGTGTATTCTAGATGCTGGAGAGTAGTAAGGATGATGGAAGAAGATGGGAACCTGAGACAGGAGCAACATTAGAAGATATTGTCTTTTTCAATCACACTATAGAATCCTAAAAACATAAGTTGTCATTGTATTCCTGGATAAACATTCTGAGAAAAAAATGGCCTCAGCATTGTAGTGAGAAATAAGAGGAAGAACATACATGAAGGTGCTTAACATAGTAGCAATGAACAGTTTCTCTATAAATATTGAGAGTGCCAAGCACAGAATACAAGGTGAATCGCACACGGTTCTTATGTGCATGGAGTTAACAGCATGGAAGCTGTGTGGTAAGCCTTCAATGTGTGGTTTAATGTATTAAGGAATCCTATGGGAACTGATACACAAGTTAAGAGATGATTTGTTTTAAGGATTTAGTGAGATAAGAAAATGTTCTATCCAGTTTTAGTGAAAATGGAAGTTCAGAGAAATAGAAAATTCCTTTTATCATTTATAGATATAAATGAAAAACCTCTACTATCAAATACGTAAAAGTTTCATTGTTAATTTTTTTCCTCTTAGAGCATGTAGATTGTACTAAAACTGATTTTCACACTCCCAGGGGACAGTGGTGAGCCAGTTGTTATATGAAATTATGCCATCTCTCAGGGCCTCAGGTTCCTTGCCTTATAAAATGGGGGAAAAGCCACATACTGTCATTTAACAGGTAAAGCTGGGTTCAAAGATGTGTGCCCTACAAGTTCCCTGCATGAGCAGGGTGATTAGGTTCAAAGCCCTTTTCTGAGTCCCTAAACATTCCTAGGTAGGTGTGATAGAAAACAGTCAACATGTTAAAATGAAAAATCTCTCTTTGGAAAAATTGTTAGTAGATTTTTCTAACCCTTATTTATTCTCACTGCCCAGGTTACCCTTTCCCTACTGCTCCTCCTGTGGATCCATTTGCCAAAATCAAAGTGGATGATTGTGGAAAAACTAAAGGATGCTTTAGGTGGGTAGATCTGTGAGTTGGATGACTTTTTAGGGCTAAGATACTGATTTATTTCTCAAGGTATAATTTAAATTGCATGACTGACTGTATCCCTTCATAATTTCAGCAGGGGTGTGGCCTGTTTCTGATGGCCACCATAGTTTTCCATCTTAAAGGCCTTAAGCTCCAGCATGCAACTAGAATATTCTTCTCTGGTTTTTCATTTATGACTATGTGCCATTGGCCCAGGTGTCTCCTCCTAACCTGTTGGCTATATGAAGAAGAATCACATGACACAGAATATGCCTGTGCTTATTCAGCTGGGGCTGTAGGCAAGACAGGAAATGGTAGATGTGTCTAAGACTCAATTCCTTTTCAAATGAAGAGTCACGACTTTGTATGATACTAACACGTCATTAAGCACTGATTATTGTGGCAAGCTTGTTATCTCAGCTGTAATGAGTCCCTACACGGTTATTAGTAGGATTCTATGAAGTCATGATGAGCTGGAGCTAGAAAACAGTAATAGGGACAGCGGGCCTCCTGTCTAGGCAGCTCTGCTCTGTTGGAAAGCCTCCTTCTCTTTGAGTCTGTTATTTCCTGAAACAAATTGTCCTTGAGTAATGATTTTGGTGGCCACAGCACTTTTGGTGAAAGTGCTGAATTTTTTTTTGATTCAGTGCTCAAGGTCTAAGGAAAGAAAACAGTATAGGGGTTTGGGGTTTCCTTTGGATTGCAAGGGTATTTCTAAGGAATTTAAAATATTCCAGTAATACTGTTATAGAGGAAGATGGCCAGCAATGTATTAATTCTCGTGATTCAGAGATATCTTTAAGAAGGGAAGGAATCTTAGCGCCCTGCTGGCTTCATGGTGATTTGTTTTCTGGTCCATTTACTCCTCCTTTAGCTTTCTTTATCCCTTTCAGCTTTTTCTCCCCTGTTCCGTGATGTCTTAAGCTTACGTCTTTTTCTGACTGCTCAGGGTATCTGCCAGCATTATAACACGTTCCTCGCCTCCCTCCTTAAAAATCCGTACTTTGAAGCCTGTGTCCTGTTCCTTCACATACCTCCCACCTGAGCTTAGATTGTCTCACCCATTGCTACAATTTTCTGAAATATACAATTTTCTTTAATATACTATTACATTCTGAAAATAGTATAAAACCATGTTCCTCAGACTAGGGCTTGCCAATTCTTAAAGGATTCACAAGCCTTCTGTAAGAACACTTAAATTTGTGTTTTCATTTCAGTGATGCTCCTTAAAAAGATTAATGTATGCATGATCTGATTATCTGGATAACCACTTTATACTGCTCTAGTGTCTGAATCTGTAATTGTATTAGCACCAAATAGCCTGTTAGAGCAAAGGCACATTTTTTAAATAAATGATGCATTCATGCTCAGTGAATACCAGATGAGCTTCCTCTAAAAGGGATTCAGAAGTAATTCAGCATTAACTAATATTTGAGCAACTATATGTAAGTATAATGTGGAGAACACTGGCTGAGAATGGAGGCCCAATTCAAGCTCTGTTGCAGCTCCTGACTGTGCAAGCCCATTGCCATCTCTGGACCTCAGTTTATATGTAGATAAAGAGGAATAGATCATTTCCAAGATCTCTCCTGAGTGGAACTATGGTTTTGAGATCCCAGGTAGCAAAGATCTAACTTGTGTAATTTTGCTTAGCATCCTGCCTGATACATAGGTGGTCTCTTAATGTATTTTGAATACATAGATGAAGAAGCAGTAATACCGTTTTGATATATCCCGTAGATATGGCAAACCGGGCTGTAATGCAGAGACCTGTGACTACTTCCTTAGCTATCGGATGATAGGGGCTGATGTGGAGTTTGAGCTGAGTGCAGACACAGATGGTTGGGTAGCAGTTGGATTCTCTTCAGACAAGAAAATGGTAAGACACAAATCACAATAGAAGCTGATTTTTCTCTTTAGACTTTAAAGAATGGGCATAGGTTATGTTTCTCTTAGCTACTGTGCCACTTTAAATGAATTTCTGGCATTTGATCATCTTTTCAAAGAAAAGCAAGTAAATTGATCAGTGTTAGTATAATGATTTTGTTAGTTATGGCTCTCTGCAAGGCAAAATAAATTCAAGCTAGCTTAGACTGAGAAGGAAGGGTTGGTTTTGAGAATATAAGATGTCTCGTGGTACCTGTTTTCATTAATTATTTCCACAGTAATGCTGCAAGAAGGGCCACCAAGACGACAGGGCTAATAGCAGTAAGCATTTATTTCTGGCTAACATGTGTGTGGACTGGCTGGGGCTCAGCAGGGCTTGGCTCCAGTCCATGGATCAGATTTAGGTTTTCTCTAGTCATTCTGGAACCACCAGCTCCCAAGGTCCATGTCCTTTTCATGGCAGAGGCTGAAGGGCAAGAGCCATCCAAGCTTATTTCAAACCTGTGCTCACATCACATCTGCTAACATTTCATTGCCCAAAGTCCCACACAGCCAAGCGCAAAAGGAATGGGCAGGAAGTACACTCTCCCTACCATGAGGCCCTGCAAAGATGTGAGTATATTATACTTCTACAGGGGAGAATTGGGTCTAATGATTCCATCTTCCACTGTATGTGAGGCAAAAACACATCTGGACCCCAGAAAAGACTGTGATCAGTAACAGGCAGAGCATCAGGAACCCAGGCAACCGTCTATCTCTGCTGCTCTGTGTTGCCTCTGTGGCATTCTTCCCTCTTTCTTCTATAGCCCCATCATTCGCCACTTCACTGTGCCAGGGCGCTTCCCAAACAGCCAGACTTTCTGGCCATGTACCTTTGCACATGCTGCTGCTCTGTCTAGAATACCCTTCTTCTCTTTACAGGGCCTGTTTTGAGGCTCTTGCAAGGAGAGGGCAGCTCAGACAAGGGTTACAGCAGTGGGAATGGTGAGAATGCTTAGATTTGGGGTATGTTTTGAAGGTAGCACTGACAGGCTGCCCTGGTGGATTGGACATGGGTTGTAGGTGGGTGGAAAGAAGAGACTGGGGTATTAAGTTAAGCAATCCGAGCTCCAGTGGCTTTGTTCTTGAAGAGTTCAATGGAAGAATGAGGTTCTACCAATTCCCAGTCCAGGGCAGTAAAACAGTGGGTCCAACTGGTAAGACTGCATGAATATGAATCTACATCACTTACTCCTACTTTAGGGTCAGTGGGAGAAACAGCAGGTGTGTGCCAGCCCAGAAGCTGGCTTACAACACAGTTGACCATTTCCTGCCTTGGTTGCATTTGCACTTAAGCTGCTCCTGTTAAGATTAGGGGACTCTGAGGAGGGAGGTTGAGTGAGGAGCATTCAAATTTTATGCTTGACATCTTATTATCTAAAGACCTTTAAAATACAGATCTCTCCTATTATCTCAAGAAGAAACACAGATTTAAAAATTTTCAAAACCTGATGCATAGGAAAAGAACTTGGAACCCCTTTTTAATAGCCTTTAATTTTTTGAAATGGTGAATTACTTTTTTTTTTTTAATTAGACTTTACTTTTTGGAGCAGTTTTAGGTTCACAGAAAATGTAATAGAGGGTACAGAAAATTTCCCTATATACCCCCTGCCCACATATGCATAGTCTTGCCCATTATCAGCATTCCCCCCAGAGTGGTACATTTGTTATAACTGATGAACACCTTTAACTTTTCTACCTTGTTTTGAAAAAATTTTAGACCTACAGACAAACTGCAAAGACAGTACAGTATATATGCTTTACCTAGAATCACCAAATGATAACTTTTACAAAATTTTAGTAAAATGTGCATAATACTAACTCTACTGTTTTAACCATCTTAAAATGTACAATTTAGTGGTATTAATTACATCTACAATGTGCAGTCATCACTATTTAGTTTGAGAACTTTTTTTATGGATGAGAACATTTTGCCATGCTTTATTTTTATTTTATAAAACACATGCTTTATACTACTTTTACCACTTAATATTTTATTATTCTTTTGGAAACTTTGGGGATTAAATCAGTTTGTTTACTAAATTCAGGAAGTTTAACCTTGATACAACAGTATTATCAACTATATTGCCTATTTTCAAATGTTGCCAGTTGTCCTATACTGTGTTTTATAGAGATTTTTGTTTTTTGACTCAGGATTCTATCCAGGAACACTATTAGTTATTATGTATCTTTAGTCTTCCTTATTTTGAAATAGTTTCTTAGCCCTTTTTTTTTTGTCTTTCATGACATTGGCCCTATTGAAGATGACAGCCAATTTTCAAGCAGAAATACTAGGTAGCTTGTGGTGTATTCTTCTCCAAACATCATGTCAGGAGGCACTTCATGTCAGATAGTGTGATGCTAACTTTGGTTCCTTGGTTAAAGCCCTTTAATGGCATTTGAAATATTTTTGGGGGGATGGAATTTCAAACAACAGAGGTAATGAAGTATATTTATCTGAGTGAAATTTCTTTCTAGCAGAGAAGTTTGCACCAGACACCCTTTGGCCTTTTTCTTTATCATCTCTCATGTTAGGGTGGTGACGATGTCATGGCCTGCGTCCATGATGACAACGGCAGGGTCCGCATACAGCACTTCTATAACGTAGGCCAGTGGGCAAAGGAGATCCAGAGAAATCCTGCCAGAGATGAAGAAGGAATTTTTGAGAACAATCGGGTCACCTGCAGATTTAAACGCCCTGTGAATGTTCCCAGAGATGAAACAATTGTTGATCTGCATTTGAGTTGGTATTATCTGTTTGCCTGGGGTCCAGCCATTCAGGGTAAGCTTACATTTTGGCATCTGGATTAAACACCAGGCACCACTATGCACGTGTTCATTATTTCTTGAGCCAGAGAGTGATACAAACTTTGGATAATATAAAAGAAAAGGGAGATGTGATCCTGCCTTCAGAAGGTTATAATGGACTTACTATATATTTGGACTTCACATGGGCAAATTATACACATGCAGAGCAAAAACAGTTCGAGATAGTCTGTGATGAGCTGTGTGCTTCATATGGGCTGTAATTAATACAATGTTATCATTTACTCCTTACTGCATCCTTGAGAGATAGAGGTATCATCATCTTCATTTCAGAGAGATTAAGGAATTTGCGCAAGGCCATACAGCTAACTAATGGGAGAACTAAAATTCGATCTTGGGTCTGTCTGACTCCAAAGTCAGTGAGTAGGCTTAGTTCTTGTGCTCTAAATACAAAAAAACTGAACAGGAAAGGGATTCTGGGAACTTTTCTAGGGATGGACAGCAAGCATTTCTTAAGTGCTCACTTTATGGCTGTCTTGGCCATCACACAGCCCCCAAATTTTCCTATCATTGAGCCCATTGCACCCCAATTTTTAACGTTTAAAGGAATTGCTGGCTTTCTCATTAAAATGCAGTTTCAGTAGGTCTGGGCTGGCGCCTGAAATTCTGTATTTCTAATAAGCTTCCTGGTGATGCTGGTCCGTTGATGGGTGGCAAGGCTCTTGACCATTTTCCCAACAAAGACCTTTTAGAGGCTGTTAAAATCAAGTTACAGTGTATATTCAGCATTCCTCCTGGTTGGTCAGCCTGGTGGCCTGAGAATGGAAGTGAACTGTTTGCAGTCCTTGTCTGAGAACTCATTCTGGCTCCTGGTAATTGCATCTTTCTTTCCTGTGTGCTCATCAGCACTCTGTTGCCTAATCTGATTTTTTTTTCTTCAAATTGTTTGCACTGATTGGCCCAGAGATTTCATACCTTTTGTTGCCTGTTTATAATTGAGAAAACATTTGGACACCTCCAGATTTGTGATCCCTTTCCCATTTGCTTATTTCCCAGCTTACCACCAATGGATCTGTAATATCTTCCAGTACTTTCAGTATTCTGGGAAATAAATTCTATCTCAGCCTGGAGAAATGAACTCATTTAAAATGATGGGATTTGGAGTCTAAAATTTTGGATTTGAGAATTGGTTCTGCCTGTTGGTAGCTGTATCTAGCCTTTTTCTAAATTTTGAACTCTAACTTCTTTGTATATAAAAAAGGGATGATGATAATACCAACTTCAGAGGATTATTGTAAGGAATAAATGAAAGCAAGTATTTGCAATTGCTTTACAGATTGGGAAGTGCTGTACTTCAGAAGGCCATCTTCTTATATATACGGCATAATCGTCTAGCATCCAAGCCCTCCCCAAGTCTGATTCTGCTTTGCCCCTGTAAGCCTCTCAGGACTTCTGTTCTCACCATCTCTGAACAAGACAGAAACATTCCTACCCCATATATATGGGATTGTGCTGTTCCTGTTTTTTGGACACCCTTCTAATGTCTCTCCATTGATCAAATCCTGTTCCTCTAAAGGTCTCTCAAAGGGGATAAACTTTGAGTCAAGATATGAAGGGGATATGGGATTAGATTTTCTAAGGATGTCATGAACTGGAGGTGTATGGTTAAGCCTAGTCCATGAAGGTGACCAGTGAGTGAGGTTAGGTAGGAGAGGTGAGTGAGATTGGTTGAGAAAAATCTCCACGCCAGCCTGAGGAATGATTCGTGCTAACAGGAGCCGGTACAGACACTGTAGCAGGGAGTTAACAGGTCATATTCAGCAGGGCTTCCCTGGTAAATATAATACCTTAAAAATACTCTGAGCCATATTTCCAAGGAGACCTTTTCACTGAACTCATGTACCTTAGTTTTCCTACCCCATTTCAGATGGAATGTTCAGGAGGTTAGGCACTCCTAATCAACTTCAGCTTATTAAGCATTCCTTAGGCACAGCCTTTCTCTCTTTCCATGTTAGCCAGGTTAAAAAAAAGTGTCCAGATACCAAACACATGTTTGGTATCTTACTCCTCCAGCCCCTCTATTTTCTGCACTATTCCAGCTGACTCTGCCAGACAGACAACAGACACACACAGCACACACCATACACTCTCGTCTGGCCTGTGCACGCTACCACTTAAGTGCCACAGACAATTTGAGAGGCTTCCATCTATGAGCCAGTCTAGTGTGGTCAGGAGTTGTTGATGATCCACACACAAAAGATATATTTGAGGGAAAAAAAATCAGTAGCTCTTGCTGTTTGAAATCAAAATACAATTTTCCATTTTGTAGTCATAAGGTAAAACTCATCAGAGACCTTGAAAGTAGGCATTCATACAATACTTTGAAGCAGTCTTAATTAAAATTGCGGTGCCATGGAGAAAAAAACAGTGTTGTTCTGGTAGGGGGTGTGCAGATTCATGAGAACATCTTTTTGGGTAAATTTAGCTAATTTTTACATTTGTCATATATACAATTACAGAGACTGCTAATGGTAACTCTTATGCCGGATTCCAGATCTTCATAGTCACTGCTTAGGTATTCAACACTAAAGACTTTTGTTTAGTTTCTCTGTTGTTTGCATATATCCTTTTTAAAATGTGCTTTTCTCTATTGCCCCCTTCGTTTTTCTTTCTTCCTTAAAGGCTCTATCACCCGACACGACATAGACTCACCACCGACTTCAGAGCGTGTTGTTAGTATTTACAAATATGAAGACATTTTTATGCCGTCCGCTGCCTATCAGACCTTCTCCTCTCCGTTTTGTTTGCTCCTCATTGTTGCCCTGACCTTCTACTTATTGATGGGAACCCCTTAACCACAGCTGCAAAGCCAACAAATTAAATGGATTAGAAAGTCTTTACTATAAATGTATTTTTAAATAATATGCAGTATAATTTTAGCTTCTATTATTTAAAAAACACTCACATGATTTCAGCTTTTTGGGAGAAAGGACAAGCTTCTTTTCTAATCAAAGAGGATTGTTTAGTGATGACTCCTTACTTTTGGAAAGTACTTAAAACTTTTCTAAGCACTTTCAAATGTTCTCTCATTTGAACATTCACATCATTGAGTTGGGATGAGGAAAATTATTACTGCCATCTGAATGGGATTTGAGACCCAGGAAAGCTGCTGTTTCGTGACCCAAATGCCATGTAGCCTTCACTACTTGTTAGATAATACAGAGCAAGTCAGGGAAAGAGCTAGGCATAGAGGTCATGTTTCTAAGCAACCTTTACTCTTTCAACCACAGCTCAAGAGACTGACTTGGACTATTACGAAAAAGAACTTCCCTGGGTGGCCCTAGTTCAGAGGCAGCCATTCAGGCAGAAGAACTTTCAAATTCCCATAAATGCTTTTGGATATTTATACAGCTGATTACAGGGAGATTACAATAATAGGAAAATGGTTCATATTTATTTGAACTTTCTTCTCAGTTAGTGAGTAGCTCTAAGAAAACATTTTTATTACTGTTTGTAAAGGTTAGAAACATAACTGTGAGTGTTCCTGAATATGTAAAATTATATTAATGCTAAAAAATATGAGCATTTTTAGCAGTTAGACTATAGACTCTTCTACCACTATGTTTTGATAAATTAAGGTATTCATTTGCTGTTACAGCTATTTCTATTGTCAGAGTCCACATACACAAAGTATGAATAAATATTATAATAGGCAAATCATCTTAATAAAAATCTAAGGCATTTTGATAATAAATTAACATTTTTGAAGATTGTTTTGAGTGGAAACTTTAAAGACAAGATTGTTTATTTTAATTAGAGAATGGGAAATGACCTGCAAAGGGAATTCGCCTAGAATATCCATTCACAATGTTCAGACTTATAAATTGGCCTGTCAGTAAGCATAATTTATAATAATACCTTGACTCAGTGCATTTCCTTTTTTCAAAAGAACCCAGTTGTTTCTTTGTTCCAAATGTCTGTGCCAACAGCCCATTTAGAGGAAAGGAGTCTGAGTGTAGTTAAACTGCTGAACTCCATTGCACAGTTCTGGAGTCCTCTGACTTGCCCCTGTTGCTTTAAAGTTGGATCCAATTTTGTGGTTTTGTGATTAAACAACTCTGATGACTGATTTCTCATACCATCCTCAAAATTCATGGCAGGGTGAAAGTCTGCCTGTGGGAAGAGCCTTCAAAGTCTTCTGGAGCTGCACAAAAACAAGGAAAACATCTAGATTCTGTGACATTGTGCAGTTTACCAAGCACATCCAAGGAATGTAGGAGAAATAAGACGGTGAGAGGTGAAATGACATCAAGTGAGCCATGGAACTAGGTGAATTCAAACTCAAGTCACCTGGTGCAAGTGTGTGACCCCCACCTGACTACCCTCCCCTCATAACTAAGCCCACTGGTAACAACTGAGTATGGCCTCTGCCTCACCTTCTGTGCTATAGTGATTGTTTAGTAGTGAGGATGCTGAGTGTGCAGGCACCCATGTTGTAAATAAGAAGGCAAATATTTTTTATATTTCACTCTCTATGTGTATGTTGTTTCCTCTAAAAAGCGGTTAAAGCTAAAGAGACACTGGCTAGCCTCTGTAGCTGGCCCTGAAGGAAAGAATTAACAGCTTTTCCTTCTGCTTACATTTCAAGTCAAGCTAATTACTTAATGAACTATTCTACTTTGTTGACCAGTTTTGCATATCTGAGCTTAGAATTTCCCATTACCTTTAGGGAGAAATGCATACCATTTTGAGTACCTGCCAGTATCATTTTTGCCACTGCTCCTCACTTGCTATGTCCCAGCAAAACAACTGCCTGCAGTTCTTCAGACCTGCTCTCTCATCTCTCATGTTCCCTGTGCCCAAACATTTTCCACTTCCTGTTCTTGCTGAACATACTTATCTTTCAGGTCACAATTTAGATAATTCTTCTGACTCTCTGGACTAGGTAGGTTTGGGTCCCCGCCCAGTGCTCCCATAGCACCCTGCGCTTCCCTGTCCTATTACTCGTCACACTTTACTGTGCTGCCGCCTCCTCTCTGCTAACGCCCTAAAGCAGGGACCATTTCTTGTTACTCATCATAGTACCAGATACCTACAAGGTACTCAGTAAACATTTGTTGAATGAATGAATAAATGAAACTATACTTCTATGGTGAGTTTGTGTGGTTCAGAAGGCTAGTATTTCAAATTGCCAGACTGGCCAATATTTTTATATTCTTCTATTGGTGATCAGACTATAAATCGTGCCTGTAGCAAATACTGAAATTTGTCCTTTGAAACACAAACAGGTCATTTGTCACATCTGTTTTGCCCTGCAGTGAACCTTAATTGACAGTAACTTTTTTTTTCTCACAATAATCATTGGTTGGAAAGAATTCAGAGAACAGGGATGCAGAATGGCATTTGGCCATCACCTCAGAGAATCATCAGTTTATAGACATGCTGAAGTTAAAACTCTGTAGACTTCAATTTCATTCACTCTTACCTAATATTAGAATAAACTTCTATCTTTTTTTGTTTTCTAGCATAGTACCTGGCACAGGGGAGATGCCTAACCAATGCTTTTGTAAAATGCCTGAAGAGAATAATAATGCTAGGTAAATATACTTAGGTGCTGTTCTAAGCACTTTACATGGATTAACTCATGAAAGCCTCACAACCACCATTGGAAGTAGATTCTATCGACCCGATTTTACAGTGAAGAAGACTGAGGCTAGTCGTTTGGCATAAATTACCAGTGCTGGCAAGGACTTTAGAGACCATTTAAATCGAATGCACTTCCTTTATAAGGGAAGCTGAGGCCTAGGGAAGTGATAAGATTTTCTACATATTCATGCCTTGTGCACACTCATCAAAGCATTTATTAAATGGAACCCACTGTCCACACGCAAATTAGGAAGGTGTTTTTATACCTCTTTACTAATTTACAAGGAATGAGAGGACTTCTTATACTTATATTTGGGGGAAAAGATACATTTTATTTTCATCTTTCTTCTCTTCTTGAAAACATTTAGGTTCTTCATTTTTACCAAGCATTTAGCGCTTTGAATATAATAATATGCAGATTGGACAAGACTGGAAGAATGTATTTTTGTCTTGGTTAATTTTTAGAAGTGACTTGCCCAAAACCCAGGTCTTCTGCTTGGAGCCCAGTGCCCTTCTAATTGCTCCACCAGAGTCTCAGAGATGAATTTACAAATACAATTTCAGACAAAATGCAGGAGCCATATTTAATGATCCTAAATTGGCTTTTGTCATTCAGGAAATCAGAAAGTTTGGACAACTGAGGGATGGATTTCCATTCCAGATGGCTTTTATTACTATTTCTGTAACTAAGTTTACTGTCTATATTCAGGAGTTTGGGCTTAGGAGATACTACTACTGAGTTGGTCATTCTCAGCTCTAGTGTGGGGGTCAGCAAACTTTTTCTGTAAGGGGCCCGATGGTAGCTATTTTAGGCTTCGCAGTCTCTGTTCCAGCTCTTCAACTCTGTGGCAATACAGGCAGAGCTGGTTAAGCAACAGTTGTATTTTCTAAGCTGTGGATTGGTGAAGGACTTCTACTGTTGAATTGCTCTTCATGGTGGAGACTACAATGTTTCAGAGTCATTTATTTCCCTGTAGACATTTTTTAAAGTGTTAGCAAAATCTGTTACATCCATGGGAGTATTTTACACACGTGACTATAGGTTTGAGAACCCTGCAATAGGCCAAATGCTATAATGCATATAGTTTGTTGTATATAATTATATCTTTTTGTTTTCCAAACAGAACTGGTTATGTTTAGTGAACAGTTTATTTTCAGTGTGCTTGTATATATGTTTGTATATACATGACAAGGTCTGGCTGTGTTTATACATAAATGCCTATATACACATCCCATGACTATGTGAAAGTCTGTGTCAGGATTATTTCTATTTCTGATCTCTTGAATACTTTAAAACCCAAGAGATAAACATTGTGCATATTACAGGCAAAACTATCCTTGAGTTTATAGTAATTTAGTATGTAGAAAGGATTCCGGGATCTTTTCCTAAGTTTTGCCACCTCCACTCAAATTTACATGAATCATTGAGAATGTATAACATATCATCTGTTGAGCCTGACTTTTCTATACTGTTACTTCAGGAGCTAAGACTAGTATTAACTGAGTAAATGACATGTTGATATAACCTATACATGTTTTGTATTTAGATTCTTTATTCAGTTATTATTTAGTTTCAAATTAGACTTCATTTTTATATTTATAAATGACTTGAGTATAAGAACCTTTTCATAAAAATAGTGGCTATGCGAATGTGATTTTAAATATATCTGGAGACTGAAAATTGAAGTGAGTCATCAAGCTCTTTGGGATTTTTCACTTAAAATATCCTGATGCTTGACTGTTTTCAGCTTTCCCCCTGGGTATTTGCTAATTGGTGAAGGAGCTGTTCAGTCCCATTCTCCCGGCGAGGAGGCAGTTCCCTAGGGTGTGGGGCACTGTCTGCTGTAGATGTGGCATTCACGCAGCTCACTAAAGCAGTTACAGTTTCATCACACACAACGTCTTGGCCACCTGGAAGAATGAATGCAGCTTCTCCACATGCCTTATTCCCACAGATGTGCTGATATGCTGGAACAATCTGGCTCCAGGAGTATTAACATACTTTTTTGAGACTGTCTACAAAATACTATTTTGTAAAAACTATGCCTTTAAATAGACATTGATGGGTTATATTTGTTTTATAGTAATTGTGTACCTAATGTTTAGTTGTGATTGATTTTGAGATTTATGTGTATTTATAAGCTTGTCTTACATGAATTTTTACTCCAAGATGTGTGATACCTTACTAATAAAGACATGGGTTTCTATTTATGTGAAGTAATTGTAGCAGTATTCCTAGATGCTACCTAAATGATTGTTCTATCCATTTGCCATCACAAATACTTTTATCTTTAAAGGATTATGTTATAGTTAGAATATGTTACCTAGATTAAAACTTTAAAATATAAATTCTCAACACGGTTTGACAAATCTTCCTGTTGATGTAATTAAAGTTAGTTTATAATTCCTTATTGCTTTGCTCTGGTACATTTTTGGTTTCCCATTGGTATTGCATCCTTTCAATAGTAAACTCTCCCTGAATTTATAGATCTTGGAGAAGATGACATCCTATTATATCCGACAAAGAGGTAAATTATGTTGCAGTAGCCAGGTAAAAATCCTTGTAGTAAAATAATTTGCAGAATAAATCTGTATTTATAGCGTCAGCTTAATACCTTTATCAAATAGGTGATGAATGCCTGTAATCCCATTTAAAGTGTAATAGTTGGTTAATAGTGCTTAACTAGCTCTAGGCATTTCAGTTATGAGCATTACTGGTAACCAAATCATACATTAAGAATAGAGTTTAGTTGTAGAGCCTTATGAATCATCAGTGGGGCATGGAAATTTCAGAATGTAGTAGCTGAACTGCTGGTATTACTGGGGTTAGGTTGAGAAGCTCAAGGAATGTCATGTTAAGAATTAGGCATTACCACCTGCTGTAGTATAGGCTTTAATCCTCATGCCCCCCCCCCAAAAGACCCGAAATATTTTGATATTTTTTGGTAATCCAAGTGTTTCCTGTGGGTTTTTTTTTTTTTTGTGTAGCCCAGCTGTTAGATCCAACCCTGGCTTGTATTTGGCTTAGAAATTTCTTAGGGCTCAGTCCCAAGTGCAAGGGGCAGGGGAACTATAAGAAGAGACGGTGAAGTGGAGTATATATGAAGTCACCTACATCCAGGAGGTCAAGAAGCTCTAAGCAGTTGTTCATTCATTCATTCATTCATTCATTCAATAAATACTATTGAGGAATCATATGCCAATTCCTGTGCTAGACACTACACATGGAGGAATTCAGAAAGAACAGCTCTTGACTTCTGTTCCTGAAAGGCTCACACCTGAGTTGGAGAGGTGGGCACATGGACACCATGAATGTCCTTTTTGGTGACTGCAGTGGTAAGGAAATGCTCAGGTGTGGTGCAAACCTAGAGTAGGGACCCCTCACCTGAGCTGGGGCAAGCAGGAAAGCAGGCAGTAGTACTAAAGCTGAATCTTAAGAAAGGGGTAGGAGTAAGGCCAGCAAAGAGTGTGGAGAAGCATCTCCAAGAAAGAACGACCCCAGCAGATATCAGCAGGATGTGTTAGGGACCCAGTGCCATTTGAGAAAGTTTGGATTAGTTTCCTACTGCTTCTGTAACCAATGGCCATAAATTTAGTGGTTTAAAACAACAGAAGTATATTCTCTTGCAGCTCTGGAGGCCAGAAACCTGAACTGAATCTTATGAAGCTAAAATCAAGGTGTTGCCCAGGCTGGTTTCTTCTGGCAACTCCAGGGGAGCAGATCCTTCCTTGCCTTTTCCAGCTTCTGGTAGCTGTGGGCCTTCCTTGGCTTGTGGCCTCATTACCCCAACCTCTCTGCCTACTTGCTCAGATCACTTCTCTTCTTCTGGAGTCTGTAACTCCTTCTCTCCTCTGATAAAAATACTTGTGATAACATTTAGGCGCTACCTGTATAATTCACAAAAATCTCCCCATCTCAAAATCCTTAGTATAATCACATCTACCAAGTGCCTTTTACCATGAGAGTTAGCACACTTGGCAGGTTGTAGGGATTGGGACTAGGGTATGCTTGAGGGCTGTTGTTCTTTCCACCACAAAGCTGGAGGATAAAGGATGAGGCAGGGAGTGAGAAGAGGTGAGCCAGCGTCATTATGGCCACATCACAGAGGGCTTTGGAAGTCGTAGTAAAGAGATTGGATACCTTCCCGTGGGGTAAGGAGGCTTTGAAGGGTGAGACTGTATTTCAGATCCCATTGGCTGCAATGTAAGAACTAATTGGAGTAGAGCAAGAGCGCCACCCTAGAGGCTGCAGTGGCATCAGTGGAGTGCCAAGAGTGTACAAATACATTAGCACTCAGGATTCAAAACCAGAAGGACTTGATTCTCAAAAATAGTTAACTTACAAATAAAGAGGGATTAGTCTGGCCAATTTGAAATACATCCACTATCTTCTGGTTTTCATTCCAGCTCTGATTTCCAGCAGAAGGCTGCTTGTTTATATACATGGGGTAGCTCAGCCTTAGTATGAGTATATTGCTGGGGGTAGAGCCATGCCGGGGGCAGGCTAAGAATTCCAAATACTGATCCCTAACTCTCAAACTTCAGCTGTTCCAGATAAAATGGAAATGACTCCTATGAAGATGAGGAGCCACCAGCGAAGGATGGTGCTTAACACCAGCCACTTTCTGGACAGGCACTCGGGCTTTCAGCACTTAATTGTTAACCACAAAATCCATGTTGCAGACGCCCATCCTCCCTTCCAACTTCCTTCCTGCTCTAGAAGAGGAAGGGGACATACTTGTTTGCAGACTTGAAAAAAAAGTTGTTTGTTTCTCAATTTTGTTTTTTCCCAAAATGACTGAAAAAGAGTTCAGTGGTTGATTAGCAATATCTGCCATGGACTCAGGAAAGAAAGGTGGTAACTTACATTTGCCATGTGAATGCATGTCTGTTTGATTACATTTTCACATGGTCTATCCTGCTCTGTAAATACCACTCTGTACATGAAGTGCGCACTATCATAAGCACAAAGCAGGTGCTCAGTACAACTCAGTAAATGTTTGTGGAGAATTTGGAGGACTCTAAGAAGACACAATGTCCTGGAGAATATTTTCCTGCCTATGATTGTTTTTGTCTCTGGGTATTATCTTGATATCTGGGGAGTCTGTGGACATCAAGTTCCATGTCCCAGGCACTGCGCTGCTGCTTTAGACATTCTCGTCTCATCCTCATAGCCACTAATGATGTAAGTATTCTCATTTTATAAACCAGAAAGCTGTTCTGTTGCAAAGAAATGTAAACCCCGACTAAAATTGGCTTAAATTATTCAGAAATTCATTGGTTCATGCAACAGCAAGGCCAAAGGCAGTGTGGTCCCAGAGTCAACTTGATCCACTCCTCTGAGTCCATTTCATCTCCACTGCATCCCAGATGTCCATGGAAGCTGGTTTTCCTTGAGACCATTGGCGGGAGTTGCCTTGTGGAGTCAACAAAGAAAACCCAAGTAGCCTCACATTTTGGAGATGCCTAAAAGCACATGCCCTGTGAGCTAGAGATTGGTGTGGACTATGTGTGTCCCTCACAAATTTAATTTATGGATCCCACATCCCAATATTTTGATTTTTCTCTGATCTCAATCATATGAACTCCTAGCAGAAACATCCACAGCATTTCATACTATTTCTTGCAGGAATTACTATTTCTAACAGGTTTTTTTGAAAAGATACCACTCATTCATTCACTCGCTTAGCAAATGCTTACTGAACTTCTACTCTGTACTGAGAATGTCCTGTGCTGTGTCACATGCTGGGGACACAGAGTGAAGCAAACCCAGATAAACCACTGACTTTGACCACAGTGTGGTAAGTGAGATTAGAGAAGGGTGAGCAGAATCCTGTGGGAACCCAGACTTATAGTTCGTTTCTAGTGCTTCAGCCCTCACTTGTACTAGAGGTCCATTTTTGACTATAAATTCTTTCAGACTTGTCAGTTCTATTGCTTTGGCCATTTAGAACAGTTTTGAAACGTTCAGCAATTTTGCTTTTCTTTGACACTTGGAAGCAGAGCACCATGACAGGGCATTTTTAATTTGCTGAGCTGGGGCCCCAACACAGCTTAGGCAACATTACTCCTGCCCATCATGTTCAATGCATACATATGTCAGTCTCTGTTTGTAAATATTTTTGTTATGTAACATGACAGCTTTCATTTTGCAACTAGATGAAGAGAGCTGAGTCTTTGGTTAGAAGACAGAGGTGGTTGGTGATTGACTATGTCTTTGGGTGTATGTGAGGCACCCACTTTGGGATTCCCTAGAAATTATTGAGGACTTTTTGGGAGGGAGGCTGAGGCCTTGTTATATAAGTGGAAGCTTGGGTCAGTATAAAATGGGCACAGAAAGCAAATGTGGCCTTAATTTATAATCATAACCTCAGCAGCCCTACAAGGACAAAGCAAACTGTAGCAAAATATTTGCAGAGTCAAAGTCCATAGACCACTTGAAAAACAAGGACTATTACCTGAAACCTCAGAAGCACATGAAAAGCAATTACTTTTTATTTTACTTTTTTAAAAACTGAGTCCTCTTGTCTCCTAATCTTAGTAAGCAAACGTTTCTTCATCTGAAACTGTGGATTATGATACCTGTTCTGTCTACTTTGGAAAAGAAACAAAAATTATGTTGAAATTAATACAAAAACTTACTGAAAACAGAAAAGGGATAACGTGCAGGGATTTCTCCCTTCCTTTCTCTCTTTCCCTTGCATTGCCCCTCCCTCCTACCTCCTTCTGTCCTTTGTTCAAAAAAGATCTGAGCCTCTGATTTAGGGTTTTTGTCATTGCTTGCACAATGACACCTACATCAACCATTGTCAACAGGAGCTACACATTACAGTCCTCTGAGAAGCTGTAAAGGCTCCTTTGTTAGATCAAATAGCATGGTAGGTAAGACAATAGACTTAGGAGCTAGACTGCTTTGAATCCTGCCTCTGTCACTTACTAGCTGTGCGACCTTGGCAAAGTACCTAATTTCTCTGGGCCTTAGTTTTCCTCCTGGTAAAGGGATAATAACACCACATTATTTGTAGGGTAGTTCTAAAAGAGTTAAGTTAATGAGGATGGGGCACTTAGAATAGGGCCTGCCGTGTGCTAATTGCTATTTAAAATCCTGCCAAATACACCAGAGCACTCTGTTTATTAAATAAATCAGTAACACCAGGATGTGGAGAGTTGGCCTTCCGTAAGTACTCCCCCACTGGGCTTCAGTGTGTGAGTGTAGTGTCTCTTCTGGGATTCCACCTCCCGAAACGTCGACATTAACCAAGGGATGAAAAGAGCTTTTTTTCCTTCTGGAAGATGTTGGGCCGAAACCTGTTACCTGGGTCCTCCAGGGACCAATGAGCGAAAGGAGGCCGGAGCGAAGGACCTCTCCTCTTACTTTCCGGGAGTTGTAGTTCCGCAAAGGCCCTGTAGGTGCTAGGAGACCGGCTGGGAACTACAGCGCCCACAATGCCGCGCGCCGCCCTCCCACCCTCCCCGGCTTCCCAGGGTCGCCTCCGGCGGCGGCGGCAGCGTCCGTTGAAGCGCCATGGCCGACGGCGGCGGCGGTGGCCGTGCTGGTGCGCGTAGTCCACGGAGCTCCCCTGGCCGGGCGCCGCCGGTCCCGCGCGCGACTGGGCCGGGCGACGGCGGTGTTGGCGGCTGCGGGGAGACACCGCGGGCGGCGGCGCTGGCGCTGCGCTTTGACAAGCCCATCAAGCAGGCCTTCTACAATACCGGGGCCGTGCTGTTCGTGTGCCTGTGCTGCGGCGCCGCCGTGCTCGTCTACTTCATCCTGGAGGCCTTCCTGCGGCCCCTGCTGTGGGCCGTGCTGTGCGGCACCTTCCTGCACCCCTTCAAGAACTCGCTGACGCGCCTGGGCCGCCACTGGCTGCAGCGCCTGCACCGCGCGCACACGCCCATCGTGCTGGCCGCGCTGCTGCTTCCGCTGTGCTTCGCGGACTACGGCGTGGAGGCCCTTGGCGAGCAGGCGCTGCGCCGCCGACGCCTGCTGCTGTTGCTCGGCGCCGGCGGTCCGCTTCTCTATGGCCTCTACAGCCTCGGCAGCTACCTGGGCGTGCAGGTGCTGCTGGCGCACGCCGGCGCGCACATCTGCCGCGGGCTGGACTACTTCAGCAGCCTGTGGGTGAGTGAGGGGCCGCGCCTGGGTTCCCTTGTGGTCCCGCCGGACTTGCAGTACCTTTCACCACTCCCCTAGCTCTCTGGGCTGCGGTCCTGCAGCTCCGCCTACCTGTGCAAGGGTCACCAAAAGGTCTACACCTGCGTGAGTGTCATTTACCTCCTTCCATCCCATGCACCGTAAGAACTTGGCACACTTCCTTCCAAAGAGATGGCCGGTGTGGTTTGAAATCGCCCCCTTATCCCCCGTCCCCAGCCTAGTTGGGGGGACATATCCTCTGGTTGGGAATTGTTTGGCTTTGCACGTAGGGGCTCTAGACCATCAGCAGATGGAGTTGAATTTACATCTGATCAGAGAGAACGGTTGCCCTGGTCGTGTTCATTTCTGTTTACACGGGACTTCTCTGGCTGTCAGAACTGGAAGGGACCTTAGAGATCCTAGTGCAGCCTGTCATCTGCAGATAGAAGAGGTGACTTACCAGGCCAGGGCTAGATAGAAACCAGTTAGGAATGGTTGAATTAAGTTTCTCAGGTTCTAAAAACTTTCACAGGCTGGTGCTGCCTCTCAGTTCAGGTGGTCTGAATAAACGTTGTGCTAGGCAGTGGATGCTCAGTGGCCTGGGCCTCTTCCTGGCCACGTTCTACTTCTTGGGGATTACTTCTGTTGTGCAGGGACTGCAGTACCACACTACATCAACTCCTGCATCGATTACTTAAGTAGACTGGGTGAGGGAGAAGTAGATTTATGATTTTTGGATCACCCTGAGCTTATTCTTAGAAAATCGGGGAGCTTTAGAATTGGAAGGGATTTCAAAGATAATGTAGTCACACATTTCCTAATTTAGACCAGATTGTAGAGCAGTTAATTATCCAAATATTTAACTGGGACTGTTAAAAACAAGTGGGTATTTAATGCATAAGAATGCTAGTTTGCCAGTAAACAGCACCATTTAAAAATAATTTTATTCATTTTTGTCAGTATTCGGTGGACCTTTACATAAAGTTGCAAAATAACTTATCTGTCAAGCAGGGTTTTGATTTGCCCACGTTATTGGTAGAGTGCTGATTTATCCCAGAACTCCTTTCTCCTCTTCTTCTATCAATAAACCTGTCCAAGTGAAAAGGTGACGGAGCATATAGTTAGGTACTGGGCTTTGTGAGGGATTTAAAAGGAATAAGATGCAGGCTGTGTCTTCAAGGTGCATATAATTGTATGTGAGCCTATTCTCATGGAAATGACAGACATGCAAATAAATTAATTACCTACCAACTATGGGCCATCAAGGTATTGGGGAGCACCTCTATAATGTTGGGATGCTGCCTGTGTGTGCTAATGCTAGGTGATCAGACAGAAGCCTTGGCTTCCAAAAAGCCTGGTCTGTTTGAATTGTGGTAGGAAGGAGGGATATGGAATGACCTTTCAACTCCTGGAGCTTGCTGGATTGGTTAGGTGGTAGTGATGCTAGAATTTATCCACTTTTTACTGCCGGATGCCTGCCACTCTTCAGAAGAGGCTTTTGAGGCCCAGAAAATGTGACTGTTCCAGGGTCACATAGCTTGTGAACAAATATGCAATTCACAGTTGTGGGGTATGCAGTTTCTCCTTTACCATGTTGTTTCTCAATCCAATTAAATTGAACTTATATAGAAGGCAGAATCTATATGCTGCTAAGAAATATAAATACAGTGACATGATTCCTAATCTCAAGAAATTCAATCTTGTTAAAGTCGGACATCTGTAGTTTTTGCTAATGTTTTTGACTGTTGATACTGTAATTTAGTGTACATTACTGTAGGCAAGACCAGGTAGCATATCCACCAAAATGTAGGAAATTAGAAAATAAAGGTCTAATATATATGAATAATGTATTTTCATATGAGGGTAAGATGATGGATAAATTGCCTTAATCTGATTAGTGGAAAGCATAGCATTTCTGCCTGTTATTCTTAGTGAAAAGAGATGAGATGAGTGCTTTTGAAGAATGCTCACATCTCAGTGTATGTAGCTTTGAATACTTTTTATTGAAGGTAAACCCTCATTTCTGTATGGGTTGTGGATGAGCAGAAGAGCCAATACATTAGACTAGAAGTGGGAAGGAAGGTCAAGCCAATGAGTCATTTTTAAAAGGCTTGAAACTCACCTTTTTGGCTAAAGTGTTGGGGGAAGGGAAAAGAGGTTTAAAAAGAAATTGCAGGAGGGATGCTGTGAGTTAATAGGAGTAGTAGTGGTAGAGGGGTAAATTCAAAGAGCAGGTCCCCCAGGTTGATCTGAGTTAGAAACAAGGTTTGCAGTTGTGTTTTTTTTGAATCAGCACTTGTGGTGGGTGGTTGGATGGGGGTGAGGTGCTCCTGGGAAGCAGAAACCTGAAGTTCTCAACTCTCAACCAAAAGTGCTGATTAATACCTGACTTGACATGAAAGTAGGTCATGTGACTGGGCAAGGAACAGTAGACTTTTCTATCTGCTGTTTTGCTTTTGTGAGCCCAAGCAGCAGTTGCTTCTTACAGAAAGAGTATTCTTTCTACACAGCTTGTACATTTGAGCCTTCTGCTGAAGAGAGGTAGAGGTGGGAGGGACAGAGAGAAGAGTTACATTTAAGCAAATTTACATTTTGGAGAGCTGACAGTTCATACATTTAAGATCCAACTGCTGAACACCATGTGCCAGGCACTGGATTAGGTGCTTTTGTTTGTACCTGTTAATTCATTCTCACAACAATCCTGTGGAGTTGGAGGGATTTCATAGGTGAGAAGACTGATTTCAAGATTGATCTGTTCTTTCTGTCAAGAAGTGGTATTCAGATCTGTCAGCAATTTAAGCTCCTTTGTCATCAAAACTCTTTGTAGTAACCTTGACAAGGATTTTAAAAAAGTTTTTCCCAATGGGTTGCGTTAAAATTTTTTTTAGTTTATTTTTTTTTAATGTAAATGGATTTTAGTAATTAGGAAAAAACTAGAATAATATCAGGATTGGGCTAAACTACACATGTTCCCTCAGAGATGCCTAGATTATCATCATCTAGAAACCTTAGTCATCTCTTTTCTTCTCTTTTTGTTCAGTTATTTACAAATTCTGTCCAGTTTTCCTTTGTCTTCAGTACCTGTATTTTCCTTTGTTACCACTTGATCTTCCAGTTCAGTTCCTCTCATGTGGGTCACTCCAGTCTCCTAACACTCCATCCTGCTTACATGTGAAAGGCTTATCATTTATTGTATGAACAATTCTTTTAAATAGTTTCAAATATGTTAGAATAATGTACTGACTTAGTAAATTATTTCTAAACATGTAAAAAGAAATCATCTGTTGCACCAAGCTGACACGTGACTCAGCCCTTGGGGTCCTTGGCATGGTATAGTGTTGTCAAGATAAAACTAAAAAGTTAATGGTGCTTCCTCTGACTCTGCCATTTTTCTTTGCTCTTTTTGATCTTCCTCTCCTTGTTCAGATTTGTTAGAAAATTTGAAGACCATTTACAGTTTCTGCAGTAGTAATAGATTTGTTTTCTACATGGTCTCTGATCCCACTGTTGCCATTTTACTTTATAAAGAAGCGTGAGGTGGAAAGAATAGTGGCTGAAAGATGAGAAGACTAAATTCTAAATGGAGCTCCGTCATAGGCCTCTTCTCTGGGCTACGCAACCCCAGCTCTAGGGAGTGTGGGCTTGGCTTGGACAATTTCTAAGGTTCCTTGATGTTCAGTTTTACAGATACCAAGAGTTTGGCAGTTCTTTCCAAAAGACTCTTAGAAGGTGACGTTAGTCAGCCAACCAGGCCTACTCTATTCCACTTCTGAACACTTTCTAGGTGTGTTTTGCATGCCTGGCAATGGTAAGGACGGTTTCCAGTGTTTAAGGTCTTTTTCAGTGGAAGACTTAGATTTATAAAAGATTCTTGACTCTATATTATAGCCACACCACAGAGATAAGAATTTTCGAATTAAAATAAAGCTGTTCTAAAGGAGAATGCAGCATTTGAAGTGTTGTTGTCCAGTGGACTGGTTAGGGCTGGGGCTCCCTAACTTGGGAAGTTCTCTCTGTAAAAGACTTAGGGAATTTTTTTTTTTTTGGTGTCATTAATCTACAATTACATGAGGAATATTATGTTTACTAGGCTCCCCCCTTCACCAAGTCCCCCCCACAAATCCCATTTCAGTTGCTGTCCATCAGCCTAGTAAGATGCTGTAGAATCACTACTTGTCTTCTCTGTGTTGCACAGCCCTCCCTGTGCTCCCCAACATTATACATGCTAATCATAATCCCTTAGAGAACTATTTTGCAAAAACATGCAACAGAAGCAAGCCATGTTTTTCCAGCTAATGCCTAGATGACAATAAATAAAGCAGGGACACAGTCTAAAAGGCAAACTTCATTTATGTTTTATACATTTAATATTATATTTAATCAGAAAAGTTTATGTGGTTAATAAGGTAAAGGAAACGGTGATTTTTTTTGTTAGTTTGCTTTACTTGTAATGCTAAATAAGTGTTGCCAGTTTTCATGCAGTTTTATATAGTACTTAGCACACATTGGTACTTTAAAAGAAATACTGAGTGTATATTTTGTAAAGGACTTGTTTTAAATAACTGAAGATTGGGAAAGTATGCCCTCCTGTATGTAAACTGTGACTCACTGATTTATGGCTTGAAGAAAATTCACACTTGAACAGATTGGCTCAGAGGCTAAATATCTCTCTTAGCGAAAGAAATAAACGCTTAACAGCATACTTTTAGGAATCCATACTGGAGATTATGTATGAAATTTGAAGTGCAGTTTTATTTTCAGTAACTTATTTTAAAGAATATTTGGTGATTTAAAAAACTGACTCAGGTAAACATGCTTTTTATATTAAAAACAGTTTAAGCAGCAAAGAAGTTCATATGGGAAAAGTGAATTGTCTCTTTTCTCTGCCACCTTTCCCACTGTATACATGTAACTGTTGGTGTTTATGAATTGTCTTTAAATTTATTTCTGTGCATATGTGGACATACAGAACTTTTGTTTTTTAAAATAGAAATGGCATAACATACATAAATTTCTGTATTTTGCCCTTTCACTTGTAATTGTATTGTGGATGTCATTCCTTGTTAGCATTTATAGATACACTTATTTCTTTTCTATAGTATAGAAACTTTTTTTTCTAGATGCGTTTTAGAAATTGTTCCTAACAGATTATTTTAGCTTTGAATTTGTATTAGGATAATCTGATAAACATTCTTAAACATTGGTAATTGTATAATTATAATGGTAATACAAACTCTATAAAGTGTTTTTAATAAATGGTCATACCTTTTGAACTAATAATATTTTGTGAATCTTTTCTGAAGAAGCACTTAAGAATACTGAAAAAAAAAATCCGTAAGCCTGAAGAGTTTTTTTTTTTAAGTTAAAAACATTACTATTTATGAAGATGATAATATTCTTAGGAGAAGATTCAGTACTTGAAGAAAAGCACAAAGCAGCAGATTACCCCCTGAATCCATCCAGAGATAATATTTTTTAAATATTTTGGTGAATATATTTTCACCATTATAAATTTGCACATGCATAAATTTATGCTGTGTTGTTTAATGTAGATATTCATCATGCCTTTTGCAAGTCTGAATAATTCCATTTTTGGAAATACCATATTGAAGGTAATATCATTAGTCCCCTATAAAGTGACATTTAAGTCGTTATAAATTTTGTTACATTTTAAATTGCCACAGTGATTATTTCTCTATCTATCTGCACAGTGTGGAGTGCTTTTGTAAATGAAATTCCTGGAAGTGGAATTGGGGAGTATATTTAACCGGCAATGATTTTAAACTGAAGAGATTAGCTGGGAGTTTTCAGGTTTACTTGGTGAAATGCATGCTTCTCTTTAGAACACGAGTTTCCCTTAAAAATCTGAAGTATGCAGTCTCATATTTTTCTCCCTGCAGTTGTACTAATTCCATATAAGTCCACATAAGAAATGAAACTTGGAAATTAGTTTAAAAGTATCATAGGCTTAAAAATCTGAGAGTATTATGTACCTCTTGCAATCCTCTAGTTCACCTCTTACTGAGGCAGACTCTCCTGCTTTGTCATCCTTGACTTCTGGTCATCTTTTGCTCATTTTTAGAGATGGTAGCTTACTCTATTTTTAGACAGCTATAGTTTTAGACATTTTCAGTAGTATAGTTTAATGGTTGCATAACATTTTATTGAGTGAATCATCCCTGGTTAACCATTTCCCAGTTGTTGAACTTTTTTCACTCTTCTAAATTATACCCTGATAAGCTTCTTTATACTTAAGCCTTTTTCAGAATTTATTATTATTTAGTGAGGTTCCAAAGCTGAATTCTCAACTCAGAAGCTATAAACATTTTTAAGAACTGAAGACTAATTTTATTGATATGACCAAAATAAAGTAGGAGGTAGTATTTTTCTGGCTTTTGTCATAATTGTATTAGTTCCTTTTTCTTTATTCTCTGAATTACAAATTTTTTTGTTACAATTTGTTCTAAATTTTTTTGTTATACTTTGCTCTTTTTTTTTTCTCAAGGTTCACATTATTTTAACAAGTTTTTGGTGCTCACATTTGTTCTGGATTATGTATCCCTGCCATCTTTTGTAAGTGATATTTGAAAAATTTTTTCTATGTAAGCTGTGCTGATACTTCGGAAGTTTTAGTGTCGGGACTACTGAGGAGGGAACTCTGGCTGATTCTGTTCTCAAGTCTTGCTGTTTCTTCTAATGATACTTTTTTCAGCTACACTTCAACTGTGCATATTACTCTGGACTAGGTTCTAGCCATCTGAAACCTAGATTATTTCAGGCTGCCTTCTTTTCAGCTTTTAAAAAATTCATTTCATGGTGATGGGCATAGTTCATAGACTGTAACGGAGTTTTTAAACTGATCCTTTTCAGGAAGCTTTCCATGTTCTTTTTTTTCCTTTTCTAAACATTGATCTATAGAAAAAACATTAAGAATTCCACAAGATTAATTTCTTAATTTAAGTCCATGGCTTAAAAATTGAATCTTTTATTTTAGGTGTCTTTATGCATATGACAGTTTTTGAAACTTTAACATACCTTAAATTAAAACTATATTTATGTGTTATTAAAAATATTTAAACTCCACTACATGGGATTTCAAATGCCTGTTTATTTCAAAATTTGGTTTATCTAAACAGAAGAGGAAAATCTATACACAATCATTTTAGCACCATCAATCTTCATCTTATCTGTGTTGTATCTCTCATGAGATATAGATGCTGGAAAATTTTTTATAATTGTATGCTATTTTCATGTGTATATATTTTACAACTGTGTCTATATTTCATTTATTTAAGATCTGGACGTTGGTAGTTGGCTATGTGTTGACTGTTTCATTCAAGTGGAATGCAAGCACTGAACGCTACTTGAGAGCAATTTCAATTCCTGTCTGGATTATATTGCTTTTTCATTTAGGTGGGTCCCTTTTTCTAAGAAAGTCTAGCTAAGGTCAGCAGAGGCTGACACTGAATCAAAGTGCATTTTTTGTATATTATATGTTGCATTTAAAATTCTTTGAAATGATCTTTAGGAAATCAAAGATCATTTTGATTTACTTTTGTACTGCTTTAATCATTTGTACTGCTTTAATCTTTAATGAAACTGTTATGCTTTAAAATGGTTATCTTTTAGATCTGTTGAATGTTCATTTTCAAAAAGGTCTTTTGAAAATAAAAAGTATATTAAAGTATACTTTCTAACTCTTATAAAATATCTTATACTTTTTATATCTTAAAAAGTAGAGCACACTTGGAATATCTTGGCCATTTCTGAGTGTCAGACTTGAGGAGACAGTCAAGGAAGATAAGAGGTGCTCACAATCATGTGTGAGAAACAGTTACAGGAACCAGGGGTATTTACTCAGGATAAGAGAAGGAGATGGGGCTACAAGGGTGAGGATGGGATAAGGAGGATATAAATATGGAAGTATGTTTCATGTATTTGAAGGATCGTCCTGTGAAAGTGATTTAAACAGATCTCTAGCCACGAGCGAGAAACGTCAGAGCAAGTAGCGGCAGGGAGACAAAAATCTGTTCAAGGACGGTCAGTGTCAGAGCTGCTCCAATGAGTTCCCTGTTATGGGAGACTCTTCACTGTTAGCTGAGTGGCTGCTAGGATGCTGTAGAGTGATTTTTCAGGGACTCTCTTGTCTCCAAATCTTGTCTATGGAAACATTAAGTTCTAATTTAAAAAACAAAATTCAGTAACCCAGAGCAGTACGTGATCTATTTAAAGTAGTTTTTAGAGCTTCTTACTGTTACAAATAAAATAAAATCCAGAGTTGACTGAAAATATGTCTTTACTTAGAGTCTGATGTGGAACCAAGTATTTGCTTGCTGACTGGGAATGTTAAAAGACTTTATCAGCAAGATCTTCTAATGTCTGATGTGACTCATTTTAAATTGGGGGAAGGTAGAAGAGGGAGGCTGGCAGGTATGTCCTTGAGATTCTAGACCTAGTCAGGGAAATGCAGATACCTGTGGGTAGGGACCTGATCTTTGGCCTTGTTAGCATTTGTTAGTGTTCTTGTTCTGTTCACTGAGGGTACAAAGGAGCTTTTTGCTGTGTTCTTTTGGGCTATTTCACCCTTTCTTGAGAGAGAGAGTTTACACCCAGTGTTATTTCCAGGAATCCAGTTCAGGTTCCATGACTTTAGGTTCTAAGTCCAATTCAGGTCATTCTGGGTTTAAATGGGGGATTTGAGTTGGGGATGGTCTTAAATTTTGGATGTGCTTCAGAATAGATTCCTCAAGTGATGCAAGCCATTAAAGGTTGGCTGGGACACACTCAGTCCTGTAGACTAGGGGCCTCTGAGAGAAACCCTGAATTGAGGTTTCATCTGTTTGTTTGATGGCCTTTTACAAAGTTCTTTGTCCTGTGAAACAATTTTGTTATTAACATATATGCCAGATTGTTCTGTTAGTGTACTAAACCTAGTTTCTTAAAGACAAGTGCTAGATTTTTATTTCACTAAAAATGTTAACTCTTAATAATTTGCAGCATCCCTGGCTGGCTCATGGAGAATTCCAGTATTCCTGGTTATTGTTTTCCTGATATCTGTGGGCACCCTCTATGAAAAACACAATGGAAAAGACTCTTCTGGTAAGAAATAGGGCATTCTGTTAATACTACTTTTATGAAGTATTTGGGAGCATAGCTTTGTTAAAAATGCTACAATGAAACTGATTTAAATCTGAACAGAAAATAAATCTATTTAAAATATTTTAGGTTGTTAGACTGTGCCTCACCTCCCCCCTCTTTGTTTTGCATTTTTTAATTCAGCTGTAATTCATATAACATAAACCATTAACATTTTAATGTGGCGTTTAGTACAGTCACAGTGTTATGCAACCATTACTTCCATCTAGTTCCAAGATGTTTTCATCACCCAAAAGGGAACCTTGTAACCAGTAAGCAGTTAACCATAAACTTAGGTTATTTGAGATCTTTATCTTTTCTTAATATAAGCATTTATCACTATAAACTGCCCTCATGGAATTGATTTTGCATCCCATGAATTTTGGTATGTTGTGTTCCCATTTTCTTTGGCTCAAGATAAGGTTTGATTTCCCTTTTGATTTCTTCTTTGACACATTGGTTAATCAGAAGTGTGTTGTTAACTTCCTACATATTTGAATTATACAGTTTTTTGTTGCTTATGTTTGTGGTATCCTGTCTAACAAACCAGTGCCAAATCCAAGGTCATGAATATTTAACCCTATTGAGCTTGTATCCTACAACTTTGCTGAATTTGTTTATTGGCTTTAATAGTTTTTTTCTGTGGTTTCCTTAGGATTTTGCATATGTAAGACCTGCAAATAGAGAACTTTACTTCTTTCTAATCTGGATGCTGTTTATCCCTTTTTTTTGCCTGATTGCTCTGGCTAGAACTTCCAGTATAATGTTGAATACACCATGTTCTTTTAAGTTACTTTTGAGGTACTCTGGTTGCAAGTGACCTATACCCACAGTTTGTTAAAGATGAGGTTTCTAATGAGTTGTAAGGGGAGGTGGGCAAGTGGTCAGATATAGGAATGGTCCTCAGATCATCAGACTGGACTACAGTTATCCAGCCATTCAAACAGCTGTGAGTGAAGAGGAAATCTGAAGGCACACAGTTTCTAGAGTGACTCATATATGTTCTTTGCTTCTTTCTGATGTTTATACATAAACCAAAAGACTAAATTACTAGTTGCAACATATTTTTAAAAGAAAAAAATTAATTTCTCAAGTAAGTTTGTTATAGTTGAGGTAGAAAATGCAGAGAAACAAACAAAAAATCACTCAAAATCCCACTGCCTACCAAAATGAAGGCTTCTATGGCTTCAGACTTCTTAAAACACAAGAAACCTGGATCATAGTGAACATTCTCTTTTGTAACTTGCATTTTAAACTCAATTATGTCATGAGCTCCTTTCAGTGTCAATGTACTTCTGCAAAATTGTTTTTATCAACCTCATTTTATGCTAATCACAGGGCTATTTGTGGTACTCTGATGTATTTGTACAGCTACCTATGGAAGTTTTTAAAAATTAAGTTGCTTTTTGTTATTTGTAAGTAAATAATGTTTGACAATTGTAAGAAATCTTTTGTTCATAAATACTTAGAATTTAAAAACAACTACCTG